TATTAATTTTGAATAATTTTGAATTAAATAAAAAGTTTACATGTGAAATTACGATTTTGCCTCAGGGGTAGGGGTAAAATGGTCACTTTTTGTTTCGGAGAGATTTTGGGGCAACGAGTGGTATTTTACGTAGTTCATACCGAGACGAGTCCATAGAGATGTGGTAGGCTTGAATTGGAGTTGTAACGAAGAAGATACGATCAAAATACCTCTAGTGGCAAAATCGTAAATAACTCAAAGTTGGATTTTTAAATTCTGAACTCACTCTCTCTCTCTCTCTCTCTCTCTCTCTCTCCCTGCGAACCCCAACAACCCCCCTCTGCAAATCCCCCAATCACCGATACAGTCTGCCGTAGCTTGCACCACCGGCACCAACCGGACCTGCCGACGCGTTCCAACCATCCCCGCCCCGGAAACCGCCGCCAGTCACTGGGAAAATGCGAGAAACAACCGATTTTTCGCATTTACTCTCTCCTCTCGATCTCAGCCATCCGGCCGCCAATTCCGACGAGTAAGGTACGGATTTTCATCTACTCTTCGAGTCCTAGCTGATGATTGGGTAGGATTGGAACGATTTCTAGCCTAGGTAGATCAAATCACGAGTCAAAGCTTGGCCGGTTTTTGGATTGAAATTCCGGCCACATCCGGCCATTTTTCGGGATAGGTTCAAGAACAAAAGTGGCTCCAAATGGTGTCATTTACCAAGGGTAGGAATCTTGGCCGGCGCTTGTGGAGGCGCATGGGTACTGTAGCTGAGTCACATTGCCTTTCTATGCGATCTCCAAGTTTCCACGAGCGCATAGGTGTGCTCGGATTTCAATTCGGATGTCGTTTGGTCATCGAACGGAGTTATGCCTATTGTGCGTTACTCGGGTTCAATATGTTCAGACCGTTGGATCGGGTTCAAATTCTTATAGGTTGATCTAGGTACCCCTAGGATCATATAGGAATTCGCGGATCGTGAATTAAAGGCCCGGATGTTCTGATTCAGTAACTTGAAGTTTGCGATAACCGTCCGATCATGCGATCGTGAGAAATCCGACCGTTCGATTCGGACCAAACTCGCATGACATGTTTTCTAAACCAAGTGGAACCCATAGGAACTCTCGGATTGTGAAACGGAGGTCGTGGGCCCCGAGGGCCCAGGTAACCCAGTTCGGGAAGTTTGACTGCCCGGTTGACTGAACGTCTTTCGAGGCTTTTCCATCATCCTAAACACATAGTCAGACCCTAGAATACCTTGTTTTGCATGCACACACCGGGAACTTGGGGAAATTATTGTTTGAATTATAAATTCCGTTTCCCAACGCCTTTATATTAATTAAATATTCATATCTTGAAATAGGTTCACAGGCCGCTCGCTCGCAGCTGGCAGGACCCTCCCCGGGTCAGTTATCGTGGGATTATTTGTGAGTGTACATTTATTTAAATATGCATTATTTTCAATGAATGAAAGAATATGCATGGATTATATATATATAGACGTACGTTTATATACTTCCAGAAGAATTAAGAGAATGAAGGTATTGAAGTTGGAGGAAGATGAAGGCTTTGGTGAATCGTTGCAACTGATAATAAAAGCTTAGAATTATATATATATTATTTGAAATATTTAATTGGGAATTTGATTGAAATTTGAGATTTGAGAGTCTAAATTTCTTGAGGATGAACGGTGTAGATTGTCAAGTTATTTGTGAAATAAATTCTGGATATTATATATATAGTTACACTATGCTAAGTACCATACCTCAATTATAGGATTACTCATACGTGGCGTTGGAAATTTCCAACGTGTTGGAAGATATATGGTTATAGGTCTCACACGTGGCGTTGGATTATTCCAGCATGTGAGACCCTATTATTTGTACGAATCATTACGCGTGGCGTGGAAGAATTCCGACGTGTGATGATGTAGTCTGCGCGCGTAGGACTTAGTTTTGAGCCACACGTGGCATTGGAAATTTTCCAGCAAACTACTCTTATCGATAAAAGAAAATCGAAGGGGACTATATATATGAGAAAGCAGTTTGACGTTTGGTAAACTTTTTGATAAAAGTGTTGTTAGTACAATAATCAGTTTCTAAGTGTTTGGTAAATTTTTTGTGAAAGTGTTGTGAGCTGTGCATAATGACTAAAAATGTCATTATATTGAAATGACTTTTCTATTCAAGTGTTTGATAAAAGGGAAAGCACTTTCACGTTCACTTATATATTTTGTATTAAATATGTTTCCATCACACCGTAAAAATTATTTTAATTAGAAAATAAATAAAGTATTATGTTGAAAATTAAATATTTGTATCCAAAAGCTAATTAGTAATTATATTAATTAAATAAGACTAAGATATTACTCAATTAAAATATTACAAAAGAAATAATAATTAAAATATCCCTACATGCATTAGAACTGTAAGTGGCATTCTTTGCTCGGCCTATCTCTTGGGTTACGCTGCACACAGAAAGACCTACATGCATGAAATAATCTCACAACTTCATGTAGATCACCCGAGTCCCCTATTGATGTATCAAGCACTTCAATGGACCAGCCTTTTGTGTATAGCATCCATGCCTAAAAGAATTTATCAAAAGTTCAAAATCACTGGGCTTACTTAAAAGAAGAAATGAAAACAAAATAAGGGCCCATTCGGTAACGTTTTAAGGGGTTGTTTTCATTTTCAGAGAACAACAACGAGGCAAAAACACGTTCTGTGGCCCAAAAATAGAAAACACTGAGAATGTTTTCATAAAATGAAAACAAGTTCATGTGTACTTGTAGAAAACATAAAAAAAGTTGTTTTCATTCTCATGGGAAACATTTTCATAAAAATTACTCACATATTATTATTTCAAATTGTACTACCAGACACGTTTTCATTGTTTTTGTTTTCTGAAGATCTTTTCTAATTAATCTACCAGAGGCATTTTCATTTCCTGAAAATACAAATTTGTTTTCTTGTTTTCATTCTTTGAAAATATTATAAGAAAACATTCTTCGAAAATGTTACCGAACGGGCACTAAGTAAATTCTATGTTTCTCTTCCCACTCACTATCTCTAGCACCAACCCACCAAAACTATAGACATCGAATTTTATCGAGTAGAACCCATCAATTGTGTATTCTGAGGACATGTAACCACTACAAACCAGTCAATCAAGAACTAAGTTCACAAGCAAATCAAGTATACTATATGTGTGTATTGGTTCTTTTGTGATATATACTTACTATGTTGCAACCGCTTTCTTGGTTTTTAAGAGCACAAAATAATTCAGAGATGGCTGCTTTACTATTTTGGAACTGTGCGTGGCTTCTTTACTATTTTGGACTCCATCTTCTTATAAGAAGTTTCGCCAATTAACTAAGACATCCGTTAATTGCTTCTCCCCAATATGCTCATTTCCAGAAGCTACAGAAGTCTTTGTTTCTCCTATAACTGAGATAAGAAATCATAAGCATTACACGAGATCTCTTTCTTCGCTATCTGCATGATTATGTTCAACAACACAAGTGTTACCACATAAAGGAAGGAAGGTAGGTTCAATAAATGACAAGGCAACAAAATTACCAACCACAGTCACAACCGCGCTACAATTTCGATGTTGAGAAGATATATAATCTTAACTTGTTAGGAAAGAATTGGACACCCAAAAATAACACCTAAATATATTACCAATTTTATTAAACTTAAAAGAAGACTTGAAGTATAACCAATTCTGCAGTTCCAAAATAAATAAAATAATAATTTGTAAGTCATATCCCTTGCTTGGACTGGAAATAGGTGATGAGTGCCTCATTGTTGGAACTGTGCGTGGCTCCTTTACTATTTTGGACTCCATCTTCTTATAAGAAGTTTCGCCAATTAACTAAGACATCCGTTAATTGCTTCTCCCCAATATGCTCATTTCCACTAAGAGTATATCAAACAGCAAAAACTTTCACTATCTAGCGTGTACTCAATCATCCATATATACAAGGGGAGAATGGAGATGATGTGGCTCATAGAATCAAAGCACGATAGGTAAAATGGAGGGTTTTGTTAGAAAACAGACATATTCATATTAGCCAAATGTTACAACCAGCACAGTGATATGCACACCTCTATCTCTGTTTCTCTAACGGCATATTAACCATTATTAGACACAAATTCTTAAGAGATCAGATTAAAATATTTGTCACCTTTTGAATCCTTCAAAATTGGAGATGTTTGCTGAATAATCTTTGCTACCCTTCAAAATTGAAGGGTCATTGCCTCAACCACAAAAACCTGGTTGGGTCATTGCCCTCGAGTCAAATTTATCTCGATGTAATCCTTGAATATGAACAAAACAAACACAGCCAAAGATACGAAGATGAGAAAGATCAATTTTCCTTCCTTTGAGAATTTCAAGAGGAGATTTGTAGTTAAGAACTCGACTTGGAAGCCTATTGATCGCATAGGCTGCCGTAAGAACTCCTTGAGACCAAAACTTCTTAGGAACATTCATTTGCAGCATGAGCGACCGCGTTTTTTCAAGGAGATCACGATTTTTTCTCTCTGCCACCCCATTTTGTTGGGGTGTGCCAACACAACTTGTCTGATGAATTACACCATAAGAACTTAAGTATTGTGAAAGGGTACTGTTCATAAATTCAGTACCATTGTCAGATCTCAGAACTTTAAGCTGGGCTGAAAATTGATTCATTATAAGCTGATGGAACTCTTTGAAGACAGAAGCAACCTCACTCTTTGATTTCAATAGATATAACCAAGTAGCCCGAGAGAAATCATCGACAAAGATAAGAAAATATTTAAAGCCATCAAAAGATTCTAAGGGTGCTGGCCCCCATACATCTGAGTGAACAATCTCAAAAGGTCTGGTAGTTTTTGACAATGAATGACTAAATGGCAGACGTGTCTGCTTTGAAAAATGGCAAATATCACAATCTTGGGATGCCTTATCCAGTGCTGGAAATAAGCTTGACAAAACAGATTCAGAGGGATGTCCCAGACGTTGATGCCACAAAACACGATTTGGGAGAGAATTGACTTGGAGCCCTCTTGAGTTGTTAGGAAAATGATGAAGAAGATACAACCCATTTGAGTAAACACCTTCACCAATCTTCTTCTTGGTAATTCGATCCTGAAAAATCACATTAGAAGGAGAAAAAATGGCATCACAATTTAAGGAATTTGTCAGTTTCCCTACCGACAACAACTGAAAAGGGAATGATGGCACGTATAAGGCAGTAGACTCAACATCTGTACCAAGAAATTTAACCTTCCCTTGGCCCAAAACTGAGACATCAGTACCATTAGCTACAGAGACAGAGTGAGCCTTAGTGAAATTCTTAAATTCACAAAGATACTGTTTTTGATTCGTCATGTGATCGGTGGCTCCCGAATCTATAACCCAAACATTTGACATAGTGCTGGAAATAAGAGCAGTCACAAAGGCTTTGACAATACCTGAGACATCAGAAGTAGATGTTTTTCCATATTGTTGAAGAAAATTAGCAAACTGGCCAAGAAGAGTAGTAGAGTTCGAGGCAAGATTTGCTCCAGCATTATTGGAGAGACTTGCATCAATTTTACAATTGGGATTCTCATTTTTTTGGTGGAGATACGCAGCAAACTCACCAAGAAAAGCTGAAGGGTTGGTGGTGAATTTTTCAAAATCATCAGCAGCAGAAACTTGATTGGCACTGTGTTTTTGTTCTCCCTTGCCTTCCTTTCCAAATTTTGGTTTCAAATGAGGGTGGAGAATCCAACACCTATCCTTGGTGTGACCTTTTTGTTCGCAATAACTACACTCCAGATTGCCTTTTTTTCCTTTGAAATTTTTGCTTGCTTGTTTTTTAGCACCAGCTACAAAAGCTTTAGATTCAGAACTTCCAGCGCCTGATTTGGTTTCTACGTTCATGACTTTCTTCCTTACCTCTTCTCGTTGAATAGTAGTACAAACAGTATTGAAAGAAGGCATTTCAGCACTCATCAAAATGTGACTGCGTAAGTCTTCATAATTTGGATCCAAACTTGCCAAGAGTTGGAAAATTTTATCCTCTTCAGCCCTTTTCAAAAGAGTGGCTGAATCAATAGTATGAGGTCTGTAAAGATCTAGCTCATTCCACATGCCTTTAAGCTTTCCCAGATGTTCAATAAAAGATTTTCCATCTTGATTCACCCCAGCAATATCCTTCTTTAGTTGAAAAATCCTGGCTGCATTATTTTGATTTCCATACATTTCTTTGACAGCAGTCCAAAGATGTTGTGCAGAATCAGAAAAACTGAAAATCTCAGCAACCTGAGGCTCCATAGAGTTGAGCAACCAAGACATGACAAGTTGATCCTTGCAGAACCAATCCTCATACTTTGGATCATCAACAGCGGGTGCAGGAATATTTCCATTGATGAAGCCAAGTTTCGATCTTCCTCCAAGAGCCAAACTGACAGCTCTTGACCAAGGAATATAGTTAAATCCATTTAGAAGAACCGAACAAAGGCGAAGATTGGGATTCCCATCAGATTCGCCGGGAAAAACAGAAGCTCTCCCAGAAGAATCACCCATTGAGAAGACAAAGAGACAGGATTTTCAAAGGTCCTGCTCTGATACCATGTAGAAATCAGAGAAAAAGAAGAAAACAGAACCACACAAGTTTAACGAGGTTCGGCAAATTTGAGCCTACGTCCCCGGTGAAGTTTGAGATTCTTATTCATCGTATGGATATCAGTACAACAGGCTGCATATATAGGCAAGCCTTTTACAGTCATTAGAAGCAGCAATAAAGACTTTTACAGTACCAAGAAAATACAGTTGTTGGAAGATGAAGAGTTTCCAGCAACTGTAAGAAGACGAAGAGTTTCCAGCAGCAGTTAATTATTTTACACATTCCAATAGGACACTTCCCTTTTCGAGAAGGAGCACCGAGTAGTTTACTGATAAAGTCGCCGCCAAAGGGCAGCCTGCGGTGCCCCCTCCAACTACAATATAGTCATATACTTCTTCTGATGGTAGATCTGTGGCATTATACACAAATTTCATGTAGCTGAAATCTGCAAAATATGAACAAATGGAAGTAACTCAATTATGTAAGGAGAATGTTTGTTATGATACGTTTTTTACCATAATATTTTCTTCATTTTTTATAGAGCTTTAATAAAAACAATAATAAGGTTATAATTGAACACTAAGCCTTTTGTCAAATTTTTCTTTCATGTCATTATTGTTTCCAACAACGAACTTTTAATGAGGTAGTGATTTACCATGATCAGATGGGGTGGCGAATGAGTGAACGTCAGTCTGAGGATAGAAGACAGACAGGTAGAAAAGAAATAATATAACACTATTTCTTGACTTTTCCATGTTTTTTTTAGCCAGAAAGACCTTTTTTCTCCTGAAAAATAAAAATAAAAAACAGTTTCGTGATAGAACAAATTAATACAATGCAGCGGTGTGACAATCTGATTTTAATTGGTGCTAGTTTGTCAAACTGGATTAGATACATAATTTTCAAAACAAACATGATTGGATTGGATGGTGGATTTTCTTGTGAGAATTCCAATCGAATCCATACAAATTCAATCAAATCTAGTTAGTTTCATTTTTTTTTCTTTCTCCCTTGCAGGTATTTGAAATTCAAAAAGTTATGAAACATTTTCAGTCATATGAAATGTTGAATATATTATAGAATCAATTTTCTTTAGCATTTAAATTGTCTTATACATTTACGTTTAGTCATGGCCTAGTGTAGAAACTCCGAACCCAGTGCGTGAAAATAAAAAAGTAAAATAAAGAAAAATACTAAAATAGCTTTTCTCTCTTATGAAAATAACTCTAAAATCTTACAAGTGTGTCCTAAATAAATAAAGTTCTATCCCTCTCATCGAATTCAACCTTAGCTAGTTTAGTTGTTGTGTGTTGCCCACTAATACATCTAAAAATAATAATTAAAAAAAGTGAGGGATGAGCAAACCAACGCTCAATCATGAGTAGATTGTGTAATGTGTCAGTTAAGCAATGTCAATTGATGATAGAGAAAACTTCATTTGAAAATGTAAGTTATGATTTACCTTAGATCAAATTAATACTTTCGGTTTATATGGCCACGATCTTCTCAGGCACAATGGCATGGACTTTGCACAAATCTTCGAGGCCTTCTTACATACATATAAAGGCCAAGGAGGTCTAAATCACAGAAATGGAGTTTGCTTTTGATATCAAGGACTCTGAGTCCTTCTTTTATCCATGGCTACAACTTAGGCACATTTGAAGATGTGGCCGGTGCCTAAATATTAGTTATAGTTGGTATTTAGATGACAAGTACTTAGTTCTATTAGAGATGACAGATATGTAGTTCCATATCAGCCAGAAATATAGTGGTCCATATATATGCACCGGACTAAAGAAACGAAACAGCAAAAAGAAAAAGAAAAATGGCGGGGGCATGGAACAAAACTCGCATTGACAGCACAAATGAAATGTGCAAGTTGAAAGGAAACTGCTATTTAAAGCGGTTGGTGGTGTCGTGTGGCCACTTCCTTATTAAATCAAAGCTGATAACTTGTGTTTGTGCTGTAATTTTCACTTTTATGCTCGAGTCAGTTGTGGCGATTTGATAAGATTTGATAAGGAGTCACATGGGATTAAATAGGAGTTATTTTGCAATCACAGGAGTTATTTTGCAATCACATGAGTTATTTTGCAAATTAGCCCATACTGCTCCCGAAAGAATACCTATGGTAAAAAAGATAAACCCTAGACTAATAATACGAAAACATCACTGATCCAATTGTTGAATCAATTGATATCTAGAGGATTTTGAGGTTGCTCGTAGTTTACAAGAGATGCTTACTTCTAAATTTGATCGTATTAAAGCTCGCCAAGAAGTACTTGCCCACCACCCGCAAGCAACCCTCCACACCCAGACCCAGACCCATTACCCTGATAAGTCCATAAATATACTCATTTATGTACTCTTTTTACTTAGGTTTTGTAGAAAAATTAGATTTAAAAAGGGCTTATTACTTCACTTTTCTGATTTTCAGCTTTTCTGCGCTCTTAGAAGGTTTTTAAGGGAAAATCAACTTTTCGGAGGAATTTTAGTGCAAGGTCAATTGGAGATGAAAGCTAACACCTTGAAGTTCAATCTGTGATTTTTCCAGAATTTTCTACCAAGCCAATTGGTACAGTATTACAAGTAAAGTTAGCCCACGGGCAGACAGGACAGTTTCGTACATGTTACGTGAATATGAAGAAACGGAAGCTTTCCCGAATTTTCCAAGTTACGTGCTATATATGGTTGGAAAGATAAGACATTTATCTTTCTAAAATATATTTTTCCTGATTTTTCTAGAAGGCCGAAGATCCCCAAATCGTGTGACAATTGGGCTGAGCTGTATTTCCCTGTGGAGTTAAGAATTGTGATCTTTACTTTCCTATTTGGATTCCTTGTTTACCAAGACTTCTTGGACGACTTTTCAGTAAATTTTAGGGTTTAGGACTTTGATTTAAGTCATATAAAAGGCCAGCCAAGGCCCCATACAGAGGATTTGTTGTGAATTAATGACTAACTCACTGCCCTTAAAAATCTTGTTGTTGATGGACTTTAGACAAAGAACTCAATGATGGATGAGTCTTACACACACACACACAGAAATTAACCAAGCACAAATGACACAAGTGTTTATAGAGGTTCAGCAAATTGCCTACATCCTCTTTGGTGATCACCTTGAGAAATTTCACTAATGAAGATAGGTTACAACTTTGGTTTACAAAAGGAAACCCCCTTAGAACACTACCCTCACAATCTGTTTCTCTCACACCCTTGCTCAACACCTTGATACACTTAGAGAACTCTCTTGCTCTCCCCTTGGCTTTTCTGAAACTCTCACAGAAAAAACTAAGCTTCTGCTTCAGCCACTTCCTAATTATCCAACTTGTTTTCTCCTCTTGTGTTATCTTACTTCATCCCATTACCTACACAAG